CACACACACACACACACCATCCTCTACACGGATTTATTATCTCAGATCTCTCAGCTCTAACTCTCCTGTGTGTCTCTGTGTTTGCCTCCTCAGAGTCTAGAAGCTTCTATCCAGGGTCTCCGCATCATGTGAAGAAATCTTTTGAATGAATGAAGAGATGCTGCGGCCTCACTTCTCCCCCTCGCCCCACCCCTTAGTCCTCCCTCCTCTCCCCCTTCCACTTTACCCCCCTCCTCTCCTGCGACGCAGCCAGTAACATGCATAACTGACCACCTTATCGAGTGTCTGCTGAAGCACTGATCAGACCATAACACGCTCTTGTGGGTGTGTGCAAACACTCTCACGCTCACACTACACAGTACACACTACACACACTACACACACACACTGAGCTGACGTGTGACATCACTGTTGATTTTTTTTTGTTTGTTTGTTTTTAAATGAAGGTTAACCAGGTGTCAAAGTGGGAAGGTCCTCTGACACGTATTAAAACGTGACGTGAAATGTGTGTTTTTATGTTCTCTAACCTCCTGTACCAAAAGTCGAACACTAAAAGGTGTGTTTTATCCAGAAGTCAGACTGTATTTCACCACAGACGAACCTTTAACATGATCTCCGAATATCAGTGTTTAGTAGATCGGAGGACGTGATGTTTTACTTCCTGGAGTGTAGTAAACATTCTCCAGCAGGTGAAGTCATTGTTTATTTGGACCTGGGTTATTGATATTCTGAGGTCATGTTGCTGGTTGGCTGTAGAGAGCTGTACAGGATCTGATGGTGGAGAGAGAAAGCAGCTGTCTAAACTCTGCAGAGTCACGGCTGTCCAGCACTAGACTCTGCAGTTACTACACTAAAACCACACAAGATGGAGGATTTCTATGTAACTGATCATGAGGTAGACATGAAATAAAGACGAAATACATTTACAGTACACAAGTCACTCGACTGTTCTCTTTCTTTTGTCTCTCACAGGCAGTGGGCGGATAGTAACTAGATACCTGTAGTGGATGTGCAGCACTAGTTTTGTGTTTGTTTTAAATCCACAAGCCATATTTGTGTACCGAAGTATAATTTATTAGGCAGGAAGTAGTTTGTTTGTAGACTAAACTAAAAACTCGCTAGCAGCTTTGTGAGGCTGTGCTTTAAACTAAATGCTATTAGCAGGTATACTGTTTAGCATCTTAGTGAAATGTGTTAGCAAGCTTATATTTGATAAATAGCAGTAAACATAAAACACAAAGATATTTTGTTATGTTTGTGCATTGAGGCTGTTCATGCTAAATAGTAAACATGCTAAACAAGTTCAACATGCTGATGTTTTGCATAAATAATGTTTGTGTTCTTGGTATCTTCCATGTTTAAAAACAAAATAAATAGATAAAGTGATAGAGCAGAATATGTCATCAGTTCATACAAAGTAATGAGGCTGAATTTACTTTATGTTATGTATGTACTTTATTTAGGTTATTTTACAGAATTTGCATATTTACGTCATTAAGGCTCTGTCTCATTATACAAACAACACTAAATATACAATATACATGTTTCTTCTCCATATTGTACATGTTGATTAGTAAAATTTGGCAGGATCACACTGTACATGTCCAAGAGAAAAGTAAGTGAAATAAATTAAATTGATGTGTTCGTAATCTTTGTCTTAACCCCAATGGAAATTATGAGACGTGAGGAAAAATCTGCTCTAGCACAGACAGAAAGGTGTCTAACCTAAGACAACATCCATTTCTGATTTTAAATTTTAAGAGATCTTTCAGGAAATGCATGAAAATTTGGTAGTTGGGATACCTGAACTGCTTAAACAAAGTAAACATAACTCAGAATAACTCTGGAGCAAATGTATAGTTTTTTCCCACTGGTGCCACCCTTTCTACCCTCCCTGTTGCAGTTTACTTTTCTTCCCTCCCCTTTTCCTTGTTCCTCTTTCTTTATGCAGAAGTGACCACATGTCCCTCCCCCTTCTTTTCCGTGTCTTTCATGCTTTATAACTTCTTTTTCACTTCTTTTTTTGCCTCCCCCTCAGTTTCTTCCTCCTCCTTTTTCTTTGCAGTTGTATTGTGTTCATGCTCCTCCCTCTCTTCCTGGTTTCACAGAAGCAAAGACTTCAAACTCTTTCCCCTTTCTGTTTCTGTTAAAAATTAAAAGTTTGCTGCCATTCTCTTGCATTTTTGAAGTGTTACACCCATGATCTTTTCTGCCTTGAGCATAAGCCTGCATAAACTTCCTGTATTTCTCCCCTTCTGAGCTGCACTGTACCCTCCTCCACTTCCCCCTCTGACCTCTCCTCCCTCTTCAGCTCAGCTTCTCTCTTCCTGAGCTCACTCTGTCGTTGGCGTTCGCGTTGACTGGCCAGAGTCCGCGAGCTGAACACCCTCATCTTCATTTGATCCACTACCTTCCTCTGCCTCTCCCTATTTATCTCTCTCCATCTCTGCAGCTATTCACCCATTCATCTCTGTCCAGCCCTCGGGGTAAGTAGCCTAGAAAATATTTAACAGTTGACTGAGTTTGCTTTGACATGTCAGTAACACACACACACACACACTTTGTAAGTGTAATGCACTTTCAGGAACAAGCTAAAAGTGTGCAACAGGCACTCCAGCCCACACTCAGTCAGAGCACAGAAACATATATGTTATTATGTAAAGTAACTGACTGGAGGTGTTTGTCTTTATGTCCTGACTGTGTGCTCTGGCTGTAAGTTGTGGGGGATGACCTGCATCCTCTCATTCCTCTCATGCCTCTGAAAGTCTGGATTTCATTAACACAACCTGAGTGAGATAAGATCTGTGCGTTTTTCTGTGTGCAGGAAGTTAAAATCAGCTGATGGTGTGTTTTACTTCTCAAAGTACCTCATATAGTGCGGACCAGCTCTGACTGAATCTTCACAAATTAGTTCTGTAAATTTAATT